TCAGCGTCCGGGCTGTGGTGGCGCGGATGTAGAGGAAGATGCAAAGCCCGCTGCCTGAAAGCGCTCAGCGCGTAGGTGCCGGCTGAGCTGCGGCATGCCCTGAGGAGGGAGATGCCTGTGCCAAATCCTGCCGTGCCTTGCTGCAGTCGCTGGTGCTCTCTGAAATGGCCTTGAGCCGGAAAGCCGGGTCAAAAAGGACGCGGGACAGCACTGCTCCCTTGAAGGTCTCTCGATGGGGAAGGCAGCTCGGAGTGCGCGGCGCTCCTGTGCTTCTCCTGGGCTTGGGATGCTCGAGCAGCTCCGAGGTGCCGCGGAGCATGTGGAAACACGTGCTGGATCTGCCTGCCTCGTACCTGATCCTGAAGGAGGGAAGATTTTAGGACTGGGTGACTAGAAATACAGCTGAAGTGCAAGAAAGTACTAAGCTAGTTCAGTCTTTTGGCATCTTCTCTGTATGGGAGATGTTAATAGTTTTGCGATTGTATTTATGGCCTGTGCTTATAAACATCTCGGATGCTCTCTTTATCATTTAGTGAAACTGTTAATATTTACAGTTTACTTGGGGTGCTGAATTCTGTGTGTTTGTTGTGTTGGAAGTGATGTTCAGGGGACCTGTGTTGCGTAATAGTTGATTAAGAGATAGGCACACCAAGCCTCTGTTTTTTCACTGTCAGATTAGCCTTAGTTTCTGTAGCACTTGCAATACTTTTGTGCTTTTATTTTTTTGTGTGCGAGGCATAAAGCTGACTTTATATGTAGAGTTCTTTGTGGATATTGTCAAAAGAAAGTATCTGTCTTTATATACAGGTACTAACGAGAGGTCAGAAAAACTGTAGCAGTGGTGTTTTGTCTTTGCTGTTAGATGGTGGTCATTCCAAAGCACGTCCAACCTTAGACAAATGAATGCAAAACAACTGTTAGTGTCATCCATGTAGTGGTGATTGTCAGAATCTGCATGGCCATTTAAGAAATAACTAGAGCTTCTGACCAAAAGGTATCAGTTTTGAGGTGAGCTGCATTACAGAAGAATTTTGTATTAAGTTTGTTGGAGTACCTGACAGATGCTTGCCAATGAATGTATTTCAATCATAAAAAAATGTGGAAGAATCATGAAGGACTCTGTACGTAACCAGGGTTGCAACAGATAGTTAAAAAATCACAGAATCTGTGGTGCTGGAAATGCTATGCTTTATTTTCAAGATAAAACTTGGTATAGTATATGTAATTTTTAAAAGACACTATATTTCCTCTTTCATGTGACTGCTTTGTCTTTTGTTGGTGTAGTGTTATCTTGAAATAATTTCATCCTTTCAGTTCTAAGGAAAGACTCTGGCTATATTGTTGGTTCTTTTATTTTTGACAATTTCGTAAAAATTAGGGTTAAAACTGCAGTTTCTTATGAAAAGAAAGTTTAAGTAAATGCTATTATGAGGATTTTTGACATCTGTCAGTGATAATCTCATTGAAACAATTTAAGATCAGAGTTGGGTTTATATCTTGCCTTTTTTTTTTAGTCAAATATGACTCTGAAAGAACTCTTAATTTTCTCACTTCATGCTTACTTTGAAAGATGACTAGGTGGTGGTAGCGTTGGGTGAAGACAGCTCAGCTGGCTGCCCTTACCTAAATCTGTAGCTCTGTTGCAGAAAACCTCAGTGAAGGCCAGGTGTGGGGAATGTGTCAGGGCCCTGGCAGACGGATGCTGAGGGCTTGCAACTGGATTTTCACCAGCTGCTTCGCATCTCTGCAGTTCTGGAGGAAGGAGGATGTGACACAGACCTCTAGTTCATCAAAGAAGGAAAAAGGATTTTGCTCCCTTTTAAATTTTGTTAGAAAATGGTACTGCTGTAAAACTTTACATGAGGTCGATTTCTTGGTTTCTTCTTGCTTTTATTCATTTGTCTTCAGTGTGGAATGTTATAGTTTTTTTGGAAAACGTTTCTTATGAAACAAGGCAAAAATGCGGGGTGTGCATTCTAGTTAACTTGTATTGCTCCTGCATTTTATTTTTGCAGCCTTAAAATTTCAAGGGAGGAGCAGTTTCCCTGGTTTGATCTACTGCATGTCCAGAAAAAACATCTGTGGTAGCTGGAGTGAGCAAGGGGAGTGCAATTTATTTCAGGTGCTGTGAGCTGGTGCTAATTCAAACTGTTCATTAAGCTTGTGACACCATTTCCACAAAAGCACTGTACAGACAGCTGTCATTTCTATATCTATATATTCATGCAGGCTGCCTGGCAGCAAACCAATGTTTATTCCCATGGAGGCTGCTTGCACACAATAGAAAATAGCATAAGCAATTCAGTAATGGAAACAAGTATGACTACTCTGTTAAAAACTGAGGGGAGAGTAATATTTTTTTATTAAAACTAGATGCACAAGCAGATAAAGTCTTCATTTATTTTCTTCACTCTTAAAAGTCCTCTGAGAATTTCTCTGCTCCTGTTTTAAGTTTACAACAAATATATTTCTGATTAAATTTAGAACTGTTCTGAGTAGAAAGGGAAAAGGAGTTTGAATGCAGGTAGTCTTACGAATGTGACGTCTTCAAGCTTAAGAAATTGTGGAGTCATTGAATTGGTAATTAGCTACTTCTTGTAAGTCAGAATTTGTTTGAGACTCTCAAAGCTTATACTCTGTATTTTTCCACCTTTAATACAACATTTTTATTGTTGATGTAGTTAAAAGTTGGAGAAGATACAAGGAAGAGTGTAAAATTCGCTGCACGCTGTTTGTTCTTTTGAGCTGGAAGATTGAATGTTTGTGTGTAATCCAAGAGAAACAGTCTACCAACCACTGCCACGTTTTCATCTATTGGTAAACATCAGCTGCTGGTTGGTCCTAAGGGAGGAAGACTGAATTAGTTCCAGATGGAGAACTCTTTCAGCCCATTTAAGACTTTCCTGTTGATTTAAGACAGCAGGTCAGTAACTTAGGGGAGTAGTTTTGCCCTTGTTTGCTGTTCGGCTTCCTGCCATGTGTGGAATCGGTGATATCAAATATGATATCGCAGTGCTGCTGAGGGTGGGAGTTTTGCTGTACTTAATTGCTTTTGGTTTTAATTGACTAGTATAAACAGAAAAAGTATTAACAAAGTTGTGATAAATAACCATCTTGAATGTAGAGGGGTATTTTTTTACAACCTGAAAAAGGAGGAGGAGTCAAGAATCCATTTTTCTTAACAATTTCTCTTAAAGAATGCGTATCTTCCTTCAAAGCTTTGTCTTAAACTGGGTTAACATAAGTATGTGGTTTAACGCGAGTGTGTCAGAGGGTCCCGTACCTCAGTGTGCTGCTAGCGTGATTTCCTGGTAAAATGGAAAGAGATAAAGGAATAGGGATGGAAACCTTCTGTGCATGGCTGTAATAACAGAAATAAGAGAACATGAGGAATGGAAAATTTCAGTGTAAAGTAGCTGCTATTTAGGCTATTGGAACTGACACGATATATTTAACTCTTTAGTACCTCCTTATGATTTATTTTGCGATGCTGCATTGGACATTTAAAAAAGTATGCAGAAAATGGTGTATCGTATTCACCTGTTCACGTGGTAACAAAATCAGGGCAGATGCAGCGGCTCTTGTTACAACTCTTGTATTTTTGTTTGCCATTGATTATTTCCTGTGCTGCCATTGTTTGATGCACTGTAGTATTATGATCTCATTTCAGACAGCTTTTCTAAGATGTATAGTGATTAACTTCCCCGTCAAGAATTACTTTTTAACTGTATAAGACCATCCAACTGTCCACCATCTTGTCTGTCCAGCAAATGTGCTTCTGGAGAAAAGTATTTAAAATTTAATTTCCCCTATTGTTTGTTCCTTGAGGAGCGAAAGAGGTCTTGTCCATCGTTTCATTCTCATCTGATTAATCCTATTTTTTTTTTTGCTCATAAAATGCAGACTGCAAAATGGAAAGCAATAAATCCAGTAGTGCGTTTTAGTGTTGCAGATAAGCTGCTTAGGTGCAATTTCTTTCCTTCTTAATACAGACTTTGACTCTGTTAGCATTATGATACTAACATTACATGACTTGAGAAGAAGAAAGGTGTGGTTTTGTTATTCTCTGTACTCTTCCACTGTAACTTGCCACATTTCATGTAATTTGTAAAAGGAGAAAGTTCAAGTTGCACATGATTTAATGAATTTTTCTATGGGATCTCTTAAAAAGACTTTAAGAATTATTGGAAGTACTAATATTGAATTGCAAGCTATAACAGTACTGCCGTGGCAAAATAAGTAATGTTGCATTACTTACAAGTAATCAAATAGAGAACAAGTCTATTTGGAAAGCTCTTGGACATATTTTCCTACTTTGTTCACTTAGATCTTATAGTTACCAGGATAACTGTGTTGATGATTAGTGGAAGTTAATAGTCCTTGATTATTGATTGTTCATTTTGACTTGAGATGATAACAGGTTAATTAGTACTAAGGGTACAGGCTCCTACCCAGATTTTCTGGGTTATGAAGTTTTTTCTGTTGAGTTGTTATAAGAAGACCTTAGTCTGAGATCAAAGAAACTAGAATCTTGAAGAGGAGTTAATTATAACAGAAAAGGCTGTGCTGACATGCTTTAGAAGAGAAAGAACTTAAAACCACATGAGTCTTTGGGGTGTGTGCATGCTGTTTTAGAATTAAAAAAAAAAAATTATAACAGAAAAGGCTGTGCTGACATGCTTTAGAAGAGAAAGAACTTAAAACCACATGAGTCTTTGGGTGCATGCTGTTTTAGAATTTAAAAAAAAATCTCCCTTATCTAAGTTCTTAGTGCTTGGTCTTGGTATCATGATACTAGGAGTGCAAAATCCAGTCTGAAAGACAAGCTGTGGAGGTCTTTTTATCGTTCATAAAGCTGCAGGTGAAATGCGGTATCTTTGCTGTATTAGGGATTTAAAATGTCATTATGTTCACAACTACATGCTTTTTCCTTCTTTTTTCTTTCATTCTTAGGTAGAAAAAATGGAATAGACCACATGAAGAAGAATGTGAAGTTTATTTTTATGCAAGATGTTATTTGGAGGACCAAGTACACTTTTTCAGGCCATGGGAGATGAAAGACTAATCACATGATATTTTTGTTCCATTGAAGTGCTGTTCTGTGCTAAGTCAATGTTGGTTTGTATTAAAGACAAATAGTAGTTTTTAATGTCAGCATGTCAACTGTGACAAATGCTCAGACACCGGAGGAACCTAATCCTCCCCCCCTTGAAGAAAAGCCAAAGGGAAAATCACTATTTCATTTGGGCTCACTCTTTGCTAACAGGAGTGAAAAATTTGTAATTGCTAGGAGTGATAGTGTACCAGAGGAGAATGTTCTGAAAATAACTATCACGGAGACTACGGTCATTGAGTCGGACTTGGGCATCTGGAATTCTCATGCTCTCATCTACCTCACTTTGTGGTTTTTCTTCAGCTTTTGCACACTTTTTCTTAACAAATACATTCTTTCGTTACTGGAAGGAGAGCCCAGCATGCTAGGTAACCCTACCTTTCTTTAATTCCAGTAAGATATTTGACAATACCAGATCCTCCTAGATAAAGTTGAGGGACAAAATTGTTCAAGTGAAGTGAAAAAGACCTCGTTAGGAGATGTGGGGGTGGATCTTGGGGCGGGGAACTCATGGGTTGAAGGGGCTTCTGACACTGTCCTTTCCTCCACTTGTTGAAAGATGGTATGAAAGATGGTGTTTGAGAACTAAGAGCTGGAAAGGAAAATGTAAGTTTTTGATTTCTGTGGTGTGTGTTTTAAAAAAAAAAAAAAGTTTAATCAGTTATTGATAGTCTCCAGAGCTATTAACTTGTTTGTCTGTAGAAGTGCAAAAGTTGCCTTTGTGTGACCTCTATTATCCAATGGGCTGCTTGTTTTTTTTTTAAGGGGGGAAACAAAGGGCATTTAATGTGTGGACTGGATTTTATAGGTGTATGCCACCTTTGTTTTATTCTGCTGCCTTGCTGGTAGATGTAGAAGTACAGGGCTTTTGTGAGCGTTCATAAAATCTAGACAGTAATTGCCATGTTTCTTACCTGCTAAAAGTACTACGCTGGTTTGTCTAAGAAATGTTCTTATGTTGCTTGATTTGCCATATTCCCATCATCTGATTTTTTTTTTTCCCCCCTCTCATCTTTCTTTAGGTGCTGTTCAAATGCTTTCAACCACCTTCATTGGCTGTATAAAAATGTTTGTTCCATGCTGCTTGTATCAACACAAAACACGCATCTCTTATCCACCCAATTTCATCATGATAATGCTGTTTGTTGGATTAATGAGGTAAATGGTTAAATATTTCCTAGAGATCTATCTGGTCACTTTGTTGTGTTCTTCAGAACAGAAGCTGTATTTTCATGGCTCTATTCCTTTTCATTCTTGATTGGAAGGTATTTGGAGTATTCACCTTTTTCCCCTCCAAAAAAAAAAAAAAAAATCACAGGATAATTTTACTTTTAGTTCCTATTGCTAAATGCTATGTTCCTTTTTCCAGATGTCAGGTTTTTTGCTAACTTGGTTTCCCATCACATTTAGCTTCTTTCAGAACATACTTGTCTTTCCATTTACTTTCTTCCTATTCTCTTTTGAGACTGATGTTTGTTTAGTGTGCTAGTATTTATTATGACATTGCTTTGTTCCCTTGCCTTTTTCCAGCAATTTGCCTCAAAAGTGATACAGGCTATTAATATTTATCTTTTAAAAAGTAAGTATTTGCTGTGTGCTGGGATAGTATCAGTTTGTGGTCTAGGAGAGAATAAGAACATATGATTTGGTTTCCTACACTGCAAAAATGATAAAGGATAACAGGATTCAAATTAATTCAGAGTAGCTTTATCATAGTAACTGCTGCCCTGTTGTTTACTTTCATGGTTTAAAGTATGGTAAATATGTAGCGTACCTAATTTACACTGAAGATGGATAACTGCAAATGATAACACTTCCTTGGTGAATTGCTATTTATGAGCAGAATTGTACTAACTTTTTCAACTGAGCCTATTGAAAACTTTAGCTTAAAACGCTGTTATCTGAAGCTTGGTTAGAGTGCATTAAAAAGGAAACTTTGTTTTCTGGAAGTCTGCTGTACATCCATAGAAATTGCACAGTTGCCCAAGGATGCCTTCATTTGAGCTAAATAAATAAAAATGTTTAAGCCAAAGCAGAAAGAAATAGATCTGACACTAGTCCACAGCACCCACAAGGTGGAATAAGGTGTGCAGCTGATCAGTTACTGCAGTTCAGTCAAGCTACCATGACAGCTACACCTGTCCATGTTCTTAGTCACTGCAGCTCAAATTTATAAACCCAGAGAAATTATAATGCAATTAATGCAATTCTTTTTCATGCTAGATGTCTAAGAGTAGCTCTTAAATCATTCTTTTATTTTCTGCTTAATTTCATGTGTTCTTCTGTTACAGATTTGCAACAGTAGTCTTGGGTCTTGTCAGCTTGAAAAATGTGGCAGTTTCATTTGCAGAAACTGTTAAAAGCTCTGCACCTATTTTTACTGTTATCATGTCTCGGATGATATTAGGAGAATACACTGGTAAGTACTTCACTGTTGAAATGTGATTCACTCTGTGATTAAAAAACAAAAACAACAACAAAAAACCCACAGCAAACCCCAAAACCAAACAACTGGCTTGCCACAATATATTTTCTTCCAACCCATGATACAATTTTTTTTTGCAATTCCACTTGCAATTGCATGCTAGTTGCTTGAAGAGATTTTGTTTGTTACTGGCTGTAAGTCATAGGAGTAATATAGAAGCCACGCATAGATTGCTTTGTGATGCAAAATGGCAAAAGGCTGAAATGAGCCAGAGGAAGAAAAGTAATTCAATCACAGAACAAATGGGGAGAATATAATTTTCTTCTGTCATTTGGTGAAAAAGATGAAACGAAGACAATCATCAGTTCATTTTCTTTCTCCGAGGGAGATACTTTTATCAGTGGGTATATGTCTGTTGTTTTCAAGAGCACCCTGCTAGTGTCTGAGATCTCCCTTTAGAACCTCTTTACTTTAAAATCCAGTAAAGTAAGTTGCTCTTTCTTTCAGTTAAAGAATTTAAGGTGGAATTTAAACTTTCAAAAACTCTATTATCCGATACATGTAATTGGAAATACAGTAATTAAACTTAGACTTAAATTTTTCTTTTTGTTTGCAGGATTGCTGGTTAATCTGTCTCTCATTCCTGTTATGGGTGGGCTAGCTCTATGTACAGCTACTGAAATCAGTTTCAACATTCTAGGTTTCTCGGCAGCTTTATCTACTAATATCATGGACTGGTAAGGCATAATGATAGTTGCATATATGGAATAAAGGAATTTTGTTTATTGGTAGATTGAAGAAAAATGTTGCCTGTAGTTGGTTTTGTATACTGGTATTTAAAATTTATTTTTAACAGAAGACACAGTTTCTCTATCATATCTGCTAGCATTCATGAGATTAAAAAATAGTACAACTCCTTTGGTCTAAAGGAGTTAGACCAAACTCCTTTCTGTAGTTGCACAGTGTGTAGAATGTGAAATGTGGAGCAAACATACCTAGCCATCTAAGGGAAACAACTATCTTTGTCATGGATTGATTTACTTTGTCATAACTAAAATAAAGATAAATGGTGGTGTGTGGTTTGTGTTTTTTTTTTCCAGTTTGCAAAATGTCTTTTCCAAAAAACTACTCAGTGGAGATAAATACAGATTTTCGTAAGTATTAAAAATATTCAGGTTTGATTATGCATAGATTTTGGGCTACATAACAAAACTATATTGTTATCTTGCACCAAGATTTTTTTTTTTCTCAGACTGTTTAGACAGCTTTAACCTAAATAATTTTACCAGGGAAAGAAAACTCCTCTATGCTCAGATCCTACTGCGGTAGGTCAGTGTCTCATAATCAGCTAAAGCATTCAGCATATTCAGAAATAAGTCCTGATTCTGCAATCATAAAACATCCCTTAATGTTATTAGGCATGCAGAAACGAACTTTAGAACTCGCTCTCCCTGAGTAAAATCTTGTGGTAAAATATACCTCTATATATGTCTGTGCTTTACCACAAGATGAAATGCTAGTTTTAGACGGAAGATAAAAGGCGCAAGTTTTCAAGACCATCTTGGCCAACACAAAAAGCAAAACACTATCTTTGCAAGAGATTGCTGAATTTGTTGTCCCCAAAGCTTGGTAGATGGCTTTTATTGCTTTTTGTATCTGTAAAAACAATAATGATGCAGCTTTCTTCAGCTCTAAGAAAGAGGAAGCTTTTAATCACTTTAATCATTGCGGGTTTTTTCTCCTTTGTAGAGCCCCAGAGCTTCAGTTCTACACAAGTGCTGCTGCAGTGGTTATGCTTATTCCAGCTTGGATATTTTTCATGGTAATTTCAATTCACTAACACTGATTTATGTTTTCTTTTTGACTTGTGAACAGAATGTGCAACTAAGGTTAATCTTAATTTTTACTTTTCATTCTTCCCATTTTTTTGAAATCACCCTGAAATGCATTTCATCTTATGTTTGCAAGGGATTGGGGGGGAGGTAAAAAAGAGAAAATTTTCAAAGAAGTAATTTAATGTAGGCATGAGTTGACAGATGACCCAGAAAGCCTGAGTATATTTCAGGACTTTTGGATCAAATCATATTTCTGTCTAAGTGCATTTAAAGTTTTAAATAGACTTGAAAAACAAATCTTAAATCTTTGTTGCCTTTTTGCCTATATTCACATGGTATACCAGAGTATTAACTCTCTGAAAGCAAAATTGATCTGAAGTAAGTATAACATATCCGGTTAAGTAGATATCCTTCATATTCTGGCATTTCATTGCCATGCATCAGTGTTGAGAAAAGAAAATATCTCACAGGCAGGCTGAACACACTGGAAAGTTCAGTCAGATGAGAGCTGTTTTTCTAATTATTCTTTTGGGGGGGGGGAAATTTGTAGGATCTAGATATCCTGTATGTTTTAGGGTTTATTTTGCTGAAGTTTAAATGTAAAACTGTATCTGCTTGTAATAATAATGATGAGTTGGGTGGAAAAATCACTTTTAGATTTGCTTATAAACTAAACTCTTCAAGTCCCCTTTTTTTGTTGTTTAGGATGTGCCTGTGATTGGGAAAAGTGGGAGGAGCTTCAGCTACAACCAAGATGTTGTTGTACTTCTCTTAATAGATGGAGTCTTGTTCCACCTACAAAGTGTTACAGCCTATGCCTTGATGGGAAAAATTTCTCCTGTGACTTTCAGGTAAAACTGTATTTTCACATCAAGAACGCTATTTTATTTTCTTGTTTTCTTGCTCAGTATTTCCGCTTGAGAACTAGGCAGTAAAAATATTCTGCAAAGAAATAAATAATGTAAATGCATAAATGCATCAAATTAAGAAGAAAACCTTTCACATCTGGATCACCAAAACTTTGTGGTTTCCTCCTTCACTGCGTGAGGAGAGGAGCATTTGACCCACACTGTTGAGCTTATGGAACGGGTGCTCACATTTACTAGGAGGGGTATTGTATTCATGTTTAACAGCCATTCCTTAAAGCTGGTTAAGGAGACTGATCCAAAGTTTAACCTGCCATTTGCTTCAGTGATAAGGCAACACCTATACACATCTCGGTGTAGTACAGAATACGAGCAATCAGCTCTGTATTCCTTTTTTTCTGAAGCATAACACCAGCATGTCAAGCTGTATTTGTTGAATTGCGTGTGTTCTCTAAAGACAGCTTCCACCTAGGTTGTCGGTTATCGGCAGCTTTGTTAGGCTGTTACGCAATTCTGATTCAATAATCGGTCATTTGTATGAATAGCCCTGGGGCCTGCGGCTAATCCTGGTCCTAAACTCTGAAGGCTTCTGCTGTCTTATACTTTCAGGTGTTCCTGCTACAGTCTTGTCACAATTCACTGTTACACACGTGCTTATTCTGAAGTTGTTAGTCTTTTCTACGTAACAGGATGTAAAAGCATATATTCACATCTACAAATTTCTTAACTACTTATTTTAATGTTACTGGTATAACTTTGATATTCTTTTCAGATTATAATGCTGTATTACCTGAATAGTAGGAGCGGACTTGCTAATGATAGTTATGTTGCTAGTTAGCATTTTCTGGATGTCTGTGTTAGCTAGAAATGAATTGCTACCGCTGTACCGTGTACTTAAAGCAATGAAACCAAAAACCTAAGGTGAATTATTCGTACTAGCTCCAAAATTAAGATGAGTGCAAAGATACGAGTGCCGATACACAAGCAATTTGGTTATGGTATTAGCTTCAGGAGGAAAAGTGGAGTCTGAGTTGGTGTTTAAAAAGCAAGCACAACAAAAGAGAGGTCCCGCTACATTAAAGCATGGTTGTGTATGGGATATGAGAAAGCTTTCGTTGGCCTTAATTTTTATATTCCTTTCCAGTGTTGCTAGTACTGTGAAGCATGCGCTGTCAATCTGGCTAAGTATTATTGTGTTTGGTAACAAAATCACAAGCCTCTCGGCCGTTGGGACTGTTCTAGTGACAATTGGAGTTCTTCTATATAACAAGGCAAAGCAGCATCAGCAAGAGACTATACACAGCCTGGCAGCTGCAGCCCAGCAATGCGCACAAAATACAACTGAAGATACTGAGCCACTAATTTCCAAGGATTTGGAACCATATGATTAATATGGCCATTTATTCTTCCAACTTAGTGTAACTCAAAGGAGCTCTTCCTGAAAGTGGTTGTTTCTTCAACTGTTGATGCTGATTGGGTTCCTTTGAGTTCATGGCAGGTCAAGCCTGGGACTTGAAGCAGAGAAGACAATGGGAAGAATCCAGAAAGTCTTGACTTACTGAGAAACTGATATACCAGAGGACCTAGTATCATATAATGTGGTAAACATGGGCTTTATTGTCTTTCCGTGACTGCAAATAACATACAAGCCGATATTAAAGAAGGAACTTCAGTGTGTTGTGGGGAAATGACTCTTTTCTCCCTACTCATCAAAATAATGTGAAACCACGGACTCATCACTGTATTCTGCTTGCTTGCAGCGGAACGAAATCGGTGCATAACTGAAATTCTTAGTTCTATGCCACCTGCATCCTCCATCATTTGCGTGCATTGTAGGGCTGGAAGAAGGAATCCCCTCCCCCAACAAATGTCTTATTTTGGTATACGTTTAGTTGAAGTAAACTATGGAAATGAGTCCATGTCCCAAAGGAATGATAAACAGCTATTTCTGACTACAAAGCTAGGAATGATAAGTGATTTTTCTACTAAAATTTAACAGGGAAATGTTGCATCCTGGTTGTGTATTGACAATATTGAAATGCAGGTATACGCACACGTACATCCACTGTATAAATGGACTGTTGAATTAACTATTTGCAGTTGGTTAGAGGTAAACACTGAAAAATTTTGGTGATGAAGCAAGATCTCTGTATTTCTATAAGAAACCATTTTAATATTTTAATTTCTTGCATTTCATTATGTATTTCTGTTATGAGGAAATAGATTTTTTTTTTTTATTATTTCTAACAGTACAACAAAATGCTGCCTTTTAGAAACTCAGGGTTATAATTCTGACCTATGTGCAAAGTATTTCTATCATTTCTGATTATGTAAAGAATTTTGGAGGTATCTGTGACAGAGATGGAAGAGAGGTCACAAAAGGGAGGAATATTAACCATAAACTGAGGCTAATCTTTATTTCTACTGCTTTTAAGAAGTTTTCTTTTTTAAGGAAATTCTGTTTTGTGGTAGATCAAAGATTAAAACTTAACTTTCAAAAATAAAAAAATCTTAAGTACTTAGTTTTGGCAAAAAAGTACATGTAGCTACAAAAACATTCAGATGGACTTTTTGGTAACGAAAGTAAATTAACAATTAACATTAGCTGATTTTTAATAATTGCCACTGTTCTGAAAGATTGTAGCATGGCATTAGAAGAATGGATAAAGTGGTCTTTCTGGTAAAAAATAATTTCTAATAGGGAGTTACCAGTGGAGTTCCTGCAAAATGTAAGTTCGTGCTTACGTTTCCACTTGTGAGATACTCCGTTAGCTTTAGTGAACTATGCCTGCAGAGAGCAAAAACGCGTTCCCAAGATAGTCTCTCTGAAGAAGCCTGTCTTCTGGTTAAATAGCGTGTGCTTGTTTTGACTTAGGCTTACTTCAGGTTACATTCCTGTACATGACTGGTTGCCTGGGGTGTGTTCCCTGAAGACTTGAGCAGGAGGTAAATGTCAGTATTTTTTTTTCATTGTTGTATACATGATGCCTGTGGGGTTTTGTTTCTTTGTACTTCTGTCACTTTTACAAAAAGCTGTGGACTATGCAGTGGAGCTATGTCACTTTTTTTTTTTGTGGTTATGCTTTTTAATAATCTCAGTGTATTTGGCAGAAAACAAAGTCTGGTTTGCATCGTCTTTCTACTCTTGTTGGAAGACAGAAATATAAGTGGCTTTCTGGCTGCCTAGTTCCTTTCTCATGTAAACCCCTTCATCACCTGTTTGAGCTTCATTTTAAAAGCTAGCTGGCTTTTGCCTTTCCTATTGCGGGAAAACTTTTAGTGAACCAAACAGCTGGGAGGGTTTTGGAACTTGTAATTTCTAACACACGTCTAAGCTTATTAGTGGCTGGTTTAGCCCCACCTGTTTGGTGGCAGCATGATAATCCTGTTTTACTAGGGGTTTATTTTCACAGTGGTGACTTTATGTACTGTTCTTCAGCAGTTGTCTTGGCCTTTATTAGATTAAACAAACCAACCTCTTTACTGTCCACTTTTAAGACCTTTTCTTCCTCCAGCCATACTAGTGCTTCTCCTTTGCGGTTGTTCCTGTTGGGTAAACAAGGACCGTTTTGTTCCATGTTAAGAATTCATGAAAGTATTATACCCCAGCTTTGTACGATGGTATTTCTTTTGGACCGCTCCGAAACACCCCAGGGTGTCACCGGCGTTTCTCACAGCCGTGCCCCTGACACTTGTACGCTGATCGGGACGAGCTCTGTGAGACAGAACTATGCGGATTATTTGTTTTGTGTTTGTCAAGTACGTTCTCATAGAAACAGCACGTCTTCCTTAAAATGTGAATTCCTGAAGTAACACCAGTCCTTGCCGAAGAACAGACTTGCAAATGTAAGGTGTCACTTGCAGCGGTTAACGTTCCTAAATGACGTTATTTCCCAGCTAAAGAGCGGAGGGATAATAAAGTAGCTGTGTGTAATATAGTATTTCCTGTCACGTATTGCACTGTGACCTCGAGCCACGGTTCAGTAACCTCACCGCTTCGTGTTACGTTCTGTGTAGTCTCGACTAATTTGCCTTTTTAGGAATTGCCCTTTTCACACTGAATTACTGTAAATTCTCCTTCGTAGTCTCTCTGTTGCCATTATGTGACTTGTTTAAATGATCATTTTATTGTGCATTATTCAAATGAATAATAATAAAATTTGGGTTTTGTATGTAATTATGAGGATGGTCCAAAACCATGACGCAGGTTGGCGACAGCTTCTCCTTTTCTGCTTAATGACGTGGTTGTTGGCTGGGGCTCGGTTTTGGTTTTGGTTTTATTTGTTGGTGGTTGAGCAGCGCTGGGCCGGTACCGAATCACCGTAGGAAAGAGGCGATTTGACAATTCCGTGGCCATTTTTGTTGCATTCCGGTCCGGCCCACGGGAGACGGTGC